GAGCCCGATGTATTAAAAGACAGAAAGAGGACTCTGGCTCCCTCTCCTGCACGAGGCCCGGTGGTGCTCCGGGCGCCGGGACCCAGAGATGATCCAGGCTGGAGGGTCTCACACCTTTCTGTGAGGGTGACAGAGATCGACCAGATGAACTGGTGAGGATTTCACATGGGGTGACATGGAGCCACTGGACTGTGTCATGCAGGGGCTGATGTGCTCTGACGTCTGTTTCAAGACAGTCTCTGCAAGTGAGGTGTGAAGAAGAGATTCTGGGGAGCAAAGTGCATCGTTCTAGGAAGCTGATGAGCAGTGGCTCGGAGGAGAGCTGATGGTGGAGACGGGGATGAGGGTGTGATGAGCAGTGGCTCGGGGGAGAGCTGACGGTGGAGACGGGGATGAGGGTGTGATGAGCAGTGGCTCGGAGGAGAGCTGACGGTGGTGATGGGGACCAGGGTGTGATGGGCAGTGGCTCGGGGGAGAGCTGACGGTGGTGATGGGGACCAGGGTGTGATGGGCAGTGGCTCGGGGGAGAGCTGACGGTGGAGACGGGGATGAGGGTGTGATGAGCAGTGGCTCGGGGGAGAGCTGACGGTGGAGATAGGGGCCGGGGTGTGATGGGCAGTGGCTTGGGGGAGAGCTGACGGTGGAGACGGGGACCAGGGTGTGATGAGCAGTGGCTCGGGGGAGAGCTGATGGTGGTGATGGGGACCAGGGTGGTAGAGGTGGAGGAAGTGAGTGTGTTTCCATTCCACACCCCCTCACAGAGCAGAACTGACAGAACATGGCCAAGGATGCGGTGCGGGGCTGAAGGGGCATTGGGCTGGCTTCTCGGGTCTGGCCTGTCCACAGGGTGGACAGCAGCTTCCTGACTGAGATGGGGGATGCTGGGGGATCGGTGTGTTCAGGGGTAAAATCAAGAGATCTCTGGTCGTGTTGTCTGAAGGACACCCAGACATCTCCGTGGGAAGGTTGAGTGGCGGTGTAATCTCAGATTGTGGAGTTCAGGGGAGGGGTCACTCTGGGGACAGCATGGGGACTCGACATCAACGCACCTGGGGGCGCTAAAAAGCCCGGGCGCACTCTCCTGCAGTGAGTGGGCAGACAAGGAGAGAGGAGGCCATGAAGCAGCCTGGGGGCACCCCCACATCTGGGGTCTGACACTCGGCACAGATGTGACTAGCATGTTAGCCCTGGGAGGGGAGCCTTTCCCAGAGGGAGGGAAGCATCAGGTCAGATGCAGGTGACAGGTCCAGCAGGGTGAGGCCGGAGAGCTGACCTCCCCATGTGGCCAGGTGATGTTGCTGGGACCTGGATGGGCTGTTACCATGGGGTGGGGTGGCCTGCAGAGAGGAGGGATGTCATGCCAGTGGAGATGGGGAGTGGGACAGCTGGGAGCAGGCATGAGAGCCAGAGGGGCTTCCCTTCCAAGACAGCCATCAGTACTACATGAGTGTGCAGGAATGATATTTGG